CACAAAGACTGCAGGGCAGTGCAAACATTTGCCACGTGATATGGGTCTCATCAAATAATAACACGGTTATACATAACAATTAAATATTTCTATATTTGTTTTTAATGTTTTTTTTTATTTTATTACTTAAAACACTTTTGTTGACCATTTCAAATACAGTGGCAGTAGAGGATGCCACAAAGGTCCTCTTGTTAGACCACCAAATTGTGCACATCAGCTCTAGATCATGCTGGCAAAATGTTATTTACAGAATCGTGGTTTATTAAACCATGTAGCGTTTGACTGGTATGGCACGTTATGACGTCAGGATCATGGCTACATTTTGTGTGCAAAAAGTCTACTGGAGAATTAATACAAATCATTCTGATCAAACATAAATTTATGGTGCTCGGGAGGCTAACAGCAAATTCTAAACTAAATCAGCCATTTCAACTGATGATGAAAAGGCTGTGATATTAATGGTGTTCCACAAGATATGTTTTCAATTTGAATGGGAAAAACTTTTTTCTTTTTTTTTTTTTTTTTTTTTATTTACATAAATGCATTTGTATAATATTGGCAGTATAATTATAGGCTTGAGATTTGTGGAGATTATTAAATGTTTAACTTTTATAGACTCCAATAACAAATATTTTTCAAGTTTCCTTACATCATTAAATATAGGCCATTTTTGTACAAAAAGCACATCATAAATTTCAATTGGATTACTAATCACCCACATGGCCTATATTGCTTTCCAATGATTATATTATTACATTTTATTAGTACATTTTATTAACACAATTCAAGCACAGAAATTAAATGTGTTTAATATTGTTATACTCCCTGTAACAGAGACAGCTGTAACAGACGCTCTTTGTTTGACATTGTTTGACACAGTTTAGGAATCCATGGCAGAATTTGTAGCAGATTAAAAAAAAAAAATACTGAGTCACAGACTTTTAAACAAATTGTGTTACAACACTCACTCATTTTAGCAAGTGGTCCACGTTTTATAGTACAAAAACTTGCAGCCTTCCTTGCGTTTAGCCTGTTTAACTGTGAAGACTTCAGCTGGGGGTTCAGCATCATTCTCCTCCTGTCTTTTCATGGGACCTGCATCTCCGTCGACGAGAGTTCCTCTGAAGCGCATGTTATTGTCCTGTTCGGTATTCTTTACGTTTGAGAGGAGTATAAGGAGTCGTGGGATGTAGCCTTCAGATAGTCCTGTCTAATAGGAAACACAGGTTAATATCTGCCCCGCCTTGAAAAACATGGCATAAACGTTTAGCAAAAACTCTGAAAGTATGGGCTAAAATATATATTTGGATGCCTAAAACAAAATATCCGTTTAGATTTAGATTACATTGAATTCACACTGACAGTTTCAGCACCTTGGAGAGGGCGCTAAGTTTACAGGAGACTCACTGAGTTTCAACACTAAAGCCTACCTGTGTGTCTGCTGAAGTTTCCATGGCTCTGTTGGAAAACACTGGTTTGACAGATGCACCTCCGCATGGCAGCAGGAGGGAGAAGAAGAGGAGAACAAGAGCAATGGGAAGCATTCTTCAGTAATGGTGAAGCACAAGCTATTATGTCTCTGTTGCAGTGAGGTTATTTGTTTTGCAGTATGCCCTTTTAAATACACTGGGCACATATTGTGTGCGTTTGTTCTGACGTCATTTGAACTCATTTTCGAGTAATGGGAGTAATAAAGACTTTCCCAAATCCATCTGGCACAAGCCCTGAAGAGTGAACTATGTGTTTTGTAGACTATACTTTATCCTTAAAAAAGAAGGGAGAAAAAAGGTTCATGAAAATGCATCAGTTTTTATCATGTATTTATTTATATTAGTCTACTTTTATAAATAAATGGATGGATGGATGGATGGATGGATGGATGGATGTCCATGTGACTAAATAAATAAGCATGCCATAAACTAGTCTGATCTAGTCGGTCTAAACAGGTCACCTCATCACTCTCTCACACAAACAACCATGTCATATTTCCATATCTAAATTCACTTGTATTGTCTTCATTCCTGGGCAGACTGTGTTCAGTCATGTGAAATAAATGAGCAGTTATAATCTAATGTGCCTGTAGGTAATGGAAAAAGTAACTGGGGAAGTTCATAAACTGTGGCGTAGGCTACACGTTTACAAAATGACCAGTGGACGGGTGAAGTGACTTGATGTAACTAAGCTCATAAAGCACTTAACATTTTGCTGATGTGGCAGTGACTCCCAATACAGTTGAAATGTCTCTGTCTGTCTGTCTGTCTGTCTGTCTGTCTCTCTATCTGTCTGTCTGTCTATCTATCTATCTATCTATCTATCTATCTATCTATCTATCTATCTATCTATCTATCTATCTATCTATCTATCTATCTATTGTCTAGATGCATCTACTATCTATCTATCTATCTATCTATCTATCTATCTATCTATCTATCTATCTATCTATCTATCTATCTATCGTCTCTGAGAATGCTATCTATCTATCTATTGTCTCTGAGAATGCTATCTATCTATCTATCTATCTATCTATCTATCTATCTATCTATCTATATATCTATCTATCTATCTATCTATCGTCTCTGAGAATGCTATCGTCTCTGAGAATGCTATATCTATCTATATCTATCTATCTATCTATCTATCTATCTATCTATCTATTATCTATCTATCTATCTATCTATCTATCTATCTATCTATCTATCTATCTATCTATCTATCTATCTATCTATGATTCTGTCTATCTGTTTGTCTATCTGTTTATCTATCTATATGAATATATCTGTCTGTCTGTCTGTCTGTCTGTCATTTATCTGTCTGAGCTGTATGAGCTGGATCAAAAGTCCTTTTATAAATATTTTATTTTGAATAGCAGAAATAAACTGCAGTGCAGCGCACACTAATGTCAAGAGGACTTTTATTTTGCGAACGTATGGTTGAACCGGAAGTACGTTCGAGCTTCGTTCCACAACAAAAAATGGAAGTGTAACGTTAGATGTTTGCTATCGACATTAGGATTGTGGGTTTAAAATAACCAATTGTAACATAGTATAATATAGCTACAGCCTCAACAACATGGGAGGTGGTGACCTTGTAAGTACAATTTGTTTTGTCAATAGCGCAGTCGTGTTAACGTTAAATTAAGCCAGTTGCTAATGATAATCTGCGTGGTTTAGTTTAACGTTAATTCGGGGTTAAGTTTAATTTTGCTTGTTTATTATGGATACCACAAATTTAATTATCTCAACGATGAGGTTTCGGTCCATTTAAATAAAATTCACTCCATATCTTTTATCTTTACCTCAATCTGACTTACTTTTATTTATCTCCGGCGAATCTCACCAGAACTTGAAAAAGAGTTGGCATCCGCAAACTCTGAAGAACATCGAGCGAGTGTGGAAAGCAGAGCAGAAACATGAGGCTGAGAGGAAGAAGATCGAGGAACTGCAAAAGGAGCTTAAAGATGAGCGAGCCCGAGAAGAGATGACCAGATATGCGCAAGAGACAGGCGCTGTAAAGTGTGTAACATTCAGTCAACCCCAGCACCATGCTATTTCATTACAGAAAATATATTATAACACATAATCGCTCACTATGGGCTTTATGTACAGCTGCAGTATTTCCTGAACTTAAGCCAGCTCCTTGTTTCCTGTCTACCATTATTGGACAAACTTGATTAATTCAGGTGTGTCTGATTATTGTTGCCGTGACTACTGAGGTCAGGCACACCTGAATTAAACAATTTGTCCAATAATGGCAGACAGGAAACAAGGAGCTGGCTTAAGTTCAGGAAGTAGTGCAGCTGTGCATAAAGCCAATTGAGATGTTACATCTCAAGGGGCTATCCTTTAATAAAAAATTCAATAATTAGACAAAATAACAACAAACTCTGGTTTTTGTAGCCTGTAATGTAATATTAAATTCCTCTCTATTGCAGGAAGAAAGATGACCGTCTGGACTGGATGTACCAGGGTCCAGCGGGACAGATCTCTCGGGATGAATACCTTATGGGTCGCCCCATTGATAAGCAGATCACCCAGCAGTTCGAGGAGCCTGAGAGCGGGCCATCAGCTGAGACGGGCCTTCTGCCTGGCTCCATATTTAACCCCACAAGTTCTGCCTCTACTAATGATATGGCTGCTAAGATCAGAGAAGACCCTCTTTTTGAGATCCGGTAAGCTGGAATGGTGTAAATGGTGTATTGTTATTTTTACCTAAAAAAAAATTACAGAGTCTAGTCCGGCAGAAGAGTGACCTCTTACCCAATGTCTGATATAAGCTTAAGCCCTACTCGGGTGGGATTAGTTTAACATGGAGAAGTGGGGTAAAGTATTAATTATTGCTTCTCCGTGATATTCGGACGGGACTAGAGTGCATCTCCATTATCAATACGGGCAATGTCAGTAAAGATTACGGCAACTTTTACCTTCTGTAAAAAGGTCCTGAAAAATTACCTCAGGTAACACTAATCCTGTGCGAATAGACCCGCTGTAAATATGTACGTAAATATTCTGTCATTTCTTATTTAAAAGTAGTTTTCTGTGTTTTTTTAAGTGTGGAGATGGTGGCAAAACTCAACTGTGTTCCATACAGATCAAAAAAGAAGGTTGAAAGCACTTATGATGCTTTTCCACTGCATGGTACGGCTCGGGTACAGTTCGACAGTTCGACGATTTAATTTTTTACGTTTTCGTCTTTTTGCAAGCAAGTACTTTAAAAACAGGTGCTACAGCGTTGGTTGTAGCCGCACCGTACCATGGAGTGGAAAAGCGCGCCGTACCGAACCGAGCCATACTGTACCATGCAGTGGAAATGTGCCATAAGTGAGCCATACCGAACTGAGCCGTACTGTACCATGCTGAGGAAAAGCACCAAAGTCTGCCGTACCGAGCCTTACCATACATTGCAGTGGAAAAGCGACATTAAAGGAACACTCCGACTTTTTGGGACTTTAGCCTATTCACCTTACCCCCCAGAGTTAGATAAGTCCATACATACCTTTTTCATCTCCGTGCGTGCTATAAGTCTGTTTGACGCACCCACCGCTAGCCTAGCTTAGCACAAAGACTCGATGTGACTGGTTGCAGCTTTCATACTAATCCAAATGAGTGGCAAAATAACGCAAACGTTTTCCTATTTACATGTTGTGATTTGTATAGTCACATAATGTACAAATAACAAAGTCAAATGAGACACAGACATCTTTTAACCGTATAAAACCTGGGAACTATTCTCTGAAGGCGAAGCACTGCTACTTTGACGGCGTAATAACCGCATCACCGGAGACACGCCGTGGTGAGGAGCGGAGAGTTCGCTCGGTGTTTGGCTAATAGAGTCAGCAATTTATAAATAGTAAAAGCGTAGTTTAGAGTCATGGGTTTTCGCTCTATTGTAAATAGCTGCGACTGTAAACAGGGGAGGTAATACCATGCTTCACAGAATTCCAACTAAAAACGCTGACTGGATGAAGAAATGGCTAACTTACTCTGGATATTTATCCAAACACACCTAAGATTATCAAGGGACATTATGTTTGCTCGGTACATTTCAATGAGGACGACTATTTTGAAAAAATGGAATTTGCCACACGGACCATAATGTGCTGAAGGATACGGCTATCCCATCGATAGCACAGACAGGACAAGTGGACCTGCGGCTGAGGTAAGTGTTCCGTTATGTTTTTAGATGACCTACTGTAACAGTGCCTTTAGCCAGATCTAATGTAACGTTAGTGACACTATTATATGATTAGGGTATGAATATGTTTTTATCTTGATGCGGTGCGGACGCGCTTGGGAAAAAAAAACGAGCGCGTTGCGCGCGTTGAACTTGCACCCTGCGAGTGGCGCGCCTAGTAGCCTAAATTTGAAATAACCATGGAAATAACGAACTTGAGCGTGCAAAAGGGTACGATAGGCTGTGAGTTCATTGTGCAAAAACAATTTGTGCTATTACTTTCCCCTTATTATATCCTATAGTAATGCAATACTGTATATTAGGCTACTGTTGAATACATTTGGTTCAGCTAATAAATTGCATTTAAAATATATTGATTCCTGTAATAATAATTATTTATTCATGTGATATTTATAAATCTGGGTGCGTTTTTGGTTGGAAATCAATGAAACATGGTACTGTATTACCTGGTCTCCCCTGTTTATTGTCACAGCTCATACAATAAAGCAAACAAACACCCATGATAAACTATGCTTTTCTATCTAACGTTAGTAATTGCTGACTCTTTATTCCAACGCTGAGCGAAGCGAACTCTCTGCTCCTCGTCACGGTGCGTCTCAGGTGATTGTTATCACTCTGCCCAAGTAGCAGTGCTTCCCCTTCAGAAAATATAGTATTTATACGGTCAAAAGATGTCTGTGTCTCATATGGCCTTGATATTTGCACACTCTGTGACTATACAAACCACAACATGTAAATAGGAAAACGTTTGCGTTATTTTGTCACTCATTTGGATTAGTATGAAAGCTGCAACCATTCACATCCAGTCTTTGTGCTAAGCTAGGCTAGCGGTGGGTGCGTCAAACAGACTTATAGCACGCACGGAGATGAAAAAGGTATGTATGGACTTATCTAACTCTGGGGGGTAAGGTGAATAGGCTAAAGTCCCAAAAAGTCGGAGTGTTCCTTTAAGAGGCACACAACTTCTTTTAGTGTTAATGTAAGTGCCTATTACCAACATAATTTAATCTGAATTGAATTAATACACCGTATGACCAGATTTAACTGTTTATATATACAGTATATATATATATATATATATATATATATATATATATATATAGGATATATCTATTTGTGCACATGATAAAATGAAGCAGCGTAATACGCACGTGAGGAAAGGAAGGTGACGGCGGTGTGTAAATCGAGTTACACTTCCCACTTCTGCTAGTTTTACTGAGATTTCTTATCCCGCGCGAATTGGCCATTATTATTACAGACATATCTCGTCCTAACAGGGCTTTTGGTGAGAGTAGACGCTTACCCGTTATTAAAAAAAAATACGGCTGTTAATGAAACTCAAAGAAAAACGTGACGGGTTAAAGGTCCCGTTCTTCATGAATTTTTGAAGCTTTGATTTTGTTTACAGTGAGCAATATAACATGTGTTCATGTTTCACTTGTAAAAAAACAGTATTTTTCACACAATTTACTTATCTGTATACCGCTGTTTTCACTGTCCAAAAAACGGGCCGATGACTTCCTAGCTCTATGAAGTCCCTCCTTCAGAAATACGTAATGAGTTCTGATTGTGCCAGGGGTTCCTGTGTTGTGTTTATACAGCAGCTTATTGCATGTTGCCCAGAAAGGTCACGCCTCTTACCATAAATTTGAGATGCTTGGATAAATTGGATTTTTATGTGACTGCAAAAAAAAAAAAAAGTAAATTATTACTGCCTCACATCAATACATAGGTTTGTTGAAGAATTATCGACAAACGATACTCTTCCTCTTCTCCATCGGAGCTCAACCAGACCACGCCCCCTTTTTTGTGTATTCCTGTGGGTGGAGATCATTAGCCAAAAATCTGTTCTAATTATGTCATTAAAAAAGGAAGTAGAGGGATGTAGTCCAAACCGGACGTTCGCTGTAGGCTTTGAGAGGGGACTTCTGTAAAATAAAATATCTCGCTAGGCATTTAACTTTAAGCTAATTTTACAGGTATTGTTTATGCTCTAACAGTAACACACAAACTACACAATAACAACTAAAGTTTGAAAAATGGAATCGCAAAGAAAGGGACCTTTAATTATGTGTAGCCTGAGCTTATAATATCTGGGTCTGTAAATATTCCTTCAAGTGCTGGTCAAATAAAATTTTCGAAGTAAATAAAATCTATGTTTGTTTTCAGCAAACGGGAGGAAGAGAAGAAGAGAGGAGTTCTTACAAATCCTGTTAAAATGAAAGAAATACAAAAGATGGTGAGTAGTATATTTTGCATGATATTTAGTGGTCAGAATTGAAGAGTTATCTCCCTTTTAATTAGTTGTTTTTAGAATTTTCACACTACAGGCCCGTACACACCAGGACTAATATCAGCGCTCGTTATTCGTCAGCGTTTTTCAACGCGTTTTTTGTGTTCACACCCAAGCGTTTTTCGCTGACGATGAGCCGAGTGAACATGCAAATTCATTACCTGACGTTAGATGGTGCTTAATGTAAAACAGAAATAATAATAGAATACTATACTAGGGTGATCATATTCATGTCTCAATGTTTTATTATGACAGATAAAAAAAACGAATGAAATAATGATAGAAATAATGTCTTCTGTATTAGAAAAATAAATATATAAATAATAAATAACTAAAAGAAATGCCTCCAAATGTAACAAAAAATAGCTCTCACAAACTTACAAAAACGAACTAACAAAATCTATTTATATCTTTAGTTTTCATCCTCTTTATCTTGTTTTTCTTCCTCATCCACCTTGTTTGCCGATCTATATTTTGCTGTAGAACTGATCTTTTCCAGCAGTTTTTTTTTTTTGAAAACCAGGACATTTTCATCACTTAAAAACAGCCAGGACAGGACGTGGAAAGAGGACATGTGTAACGCAAAGTTGAGATGTTGCCCAGAGATAAAAACATAGCACTAGTTGTCGGATGAACAGATCCACGAGAGACGAGAGTTGTCGTATTTCCCCGCGTTTAATAAAACCACTCAAACGTTACACTCGTCCTCATACATGGGGATCGAGTGAGAAAAAAAAAACACAAACAAACATCTGGTCACAATAGAAAAATAAAAAGAAAGAATACAAAGAGTCGGCAGAGGTTATCTATCTCCTCTCCTCACTTGTCAAAATCTAACTGACACTACGCACACTATGCGCAGTTCTCATCTCAACTCAGATTTCTATAAAGCACAAAGTGACCGTTTTACACATGTCCTACACATGTCCCGGGAAAACAGGACTGTTGGTCACCCTATACTATACTATTATTACAGAAATACAAATATAAATATTATCATATAGCTCTTTGTGCTCTGAGACCAGCAGTTCAACATTCATCTTGCCCATAGGTATCTTATCTCTTCTTCACCATATGTGTGCTCGGCAAGACCGTTTTGTGTTTGAGCGCCCCCAAGTTGTGTTTTACTGTAACTTCAGAAGTACCAGACACATGAGCAAACCCGCCAATCTCGTTGGTCGGATAGGTTTTGACGCGGTCAAAACCAAAAAAATGAACCCGAGGCATTTTTTAAAAAATGACGCTGTTATGTGTGGCGTTTTTCGCGTCGGTGTGAACAGGCCTTAACTTGTCACACATTTTGCACTGGAAGTTGAATTGACAAGAATAGGAATTTACCCAATTACAATCCAAGAAATTCATCAGTTAATAGATTTCTGGAAAATTAAGTGTTATTTTCACTTGTCCACAAGATAAAAGTTCATTTATGAAATATATTGGGTTTTTTTTAATAAAAAAAAAAAAATAGTCTCAGTGAACTTTTGTGATCTTTGTTGTCTTGAGTTCAAATTCAGTATATGAATTAAATGCCTTTTTTTTTTTTTTTTAATTTTGTGTCAACCATGACAAGGCTGGTCTGTTGTTTTCTACCCCAATAGTTGCGTCACAATCTTGAGAAGGAGAAAAAGAAGAAACGGAAGAAGGACAAAAAGGAGAAAAGAGAGGAGAAAGAGAGGAGGAAGGAGAAAAAGCACAGGAAGAGGAGTTCAAGCTCTGATGAGGAGGACCGGAAGCATAGGTACAAATTACATTTTTAATCAGCTTGTAAATTGTTTTATTTACTGGCATGAATCTCTCCTTTTTTGGTAGCCTGGTTAAAACCAGACCATCTCAGTTTGTAACTGAGTTATGGTCTGGCAAAGCTTCATAGACAAATCATTTCCAGAGGGGCGTCACCAACGGACGTAGCTCAAATGCCTCAAAGGCGCAATTGGATAGACCTAAAACCAATCAGAGCGCTGAAGGAGATGAGGTATGCAGAGCGACGTTCGTCTGTTTGAATAAACGAGCAGACAATCTGATTAGCTACTTGCTCTACGTTTATTTAAAATTAACAGCAAGACAACTAAGTGAATGTGCTTTCCATTATCACACACAGTAAACAAAACCTTAACAAAAAAAAAATAAGACTTTGCAATGAACTTTGCAATTTAGACACACCTGTATGGTGAGACCTTACTGTCTATGGGTGAGACTTACATGCTCGGGCAAATTCGGCTTGAAGTCGTTCATTCTCGGACGCGGCACCGCTACAAAAAAAGCCATGCACACAGCTAAGGGAAATGGGGTCGGTCTTGCGCACCAAACGCGTCATTTTTGCCGCGCACCTTCGCGCTCGTGTGGACGCGTCTAGTGTAAACAAGGCTTTATTCCGTGTCAGTGTGTGCTCTGATCGGTATAAAGGTGCACAGACCTCCTCCGTATCATCTTTAGCGGTAGCAGTCTTTGAAACACCACTAACTCGGCCTCCGCTTCCCTCGTAAGCTGATATTAGTATTTAAACATTCTCTCACAATCATAAAAAAAGTTTGTGAAATAAATATTTTAATAACATGGTTTTTGCGGTTATAAAGTTCTAATGACAGTGTTCAACTATAACCGTCACACCCCTTTGTAAATGTTCAAAATCTGCGTCGCTGTGCTGTCATCATCGTGTAAAGCCCGCCCCAACGTTTCTGATTGGTGCCGTGATTTCGGTGGATTGGAAATGGCCTTGAATGAGCTCTTTACCAGACTAACTTTCAGTGTAAATCTAAATTTGCCGGATGTTGTCTGGGTTTTCCCAGGCTACTTTTTTGGGAGACAGTGAACTTAATTTAAATAAGCTTTTTCAACAATATGTGCGTCTGTTTGGCCAACCAGGTCCAAAGAAGAACGATCAGATCATGTGACAACCTCTAATGGACATCATAAATCAGGCTATGGGCTTCAAGTAAGTGATTTCTACTTGGCTTTCTCACTGACATGTTTATTTTGGATTGTTATTGTTAACTTTTATTTAATTTTAATATTTAACCCATTTAATCCCAATTTTTTCTCGGACACAAAAATATCCAAATCATGTGTCATTACTATCCCTTTGAAACAATCAATCATCATTTTTTGAAATTTTCATGGAAAAGTGTGTGGAAAAAATGAGTTTTATGATCGGTCACAATTGTGACCGGTGGGATACTGTGTTGCATCAACCATTGTACAGGTCTATTTGACATTGCAGTGTTTGTGTGTGTGTGTGCGTGTTTGTGTTCATATGCGTCTGTGCGTGCGTGTTGGGTGTGTGTGTGTGCTGTGCGTGTGGGGTGTGTAGTGTGTGATTTGAGTGTGGGGTGTATGTGTGTGTCAGGGTTTCCGTTGTCCAGTAATTACCGGACATTGGCCGGGAAAAAAATTAAATGTCCGACAAAATTAAATCTCTCCGGTCAAATTGTCCGATTAAAATTGCCTAATAATCCAGCCCCCCTAACACAATCTGAATTAGAGAATAAGCCTAAAATATATAAAGCAAAAATACACCGACCTTTGGCTATGTTATAAAGGAACAGGCTCTACCGTTTGAATGTTATTAAAGACGGCACATACAAGGACGTCAAAGTGACCAATTCAAGCGACCACTACATTCAAGCTTTCAAAAAAGCCAGGGAATGCTATGTTCAACATCTGATTGATGCCTTGCAAGATCGGTTCCCCGAGGATTGCATGGATCTACTTCACTGCCTCGATGCCCTTCTGAATCCCTAGATATCCGCAGGCACATAGTGGTAAGTAGGATCTGTTGATTTAATATACGGTCATTCTACAGAAACGTTGGTCCCCTTTTAGTATGGCAAGATGTCTTTATTTATTTATTTTTATAACATTTAAACTTATACGACATTATTAAAATTTAAAATATAGGCTAAATAAAAATGTATATTTTTGTGCATTTATTTAAAGACGGCATGTACCCGTATTTTCCGCACTATAAGGCGCACTTAAAAGCCTTCAATTTTCTCAAAAAACGACAGTGCGTCTTATAATCTGGAGCGCCTTATATATGGATCAATTGGTTAATAACGCTCCGCGTTACCTTACCTAACGCTAACGCTCAGCCTTACCTTACGAAAACTAAAGACCAACAACAACATTTTCCAAACAGAATTGTTTCATTTCAAATTACAAATTAGGACTAGCAAGAACAGGAATGTAGCATACAAAAAAAGTCCTGTAAAATTAAACGAATAAATGGGCCTAATAATATTAATACAAATTTTATAAACAAAAATATACATAAAAGTTTTAAAAGTAAATTAACTATAGGCTAGAATTTTGATAACTGAACTTTTGCCCAACGCACACGATAAAAATGTAAATGGGTTAATAACCATTGTACACACAAACTGCTGTAAAAGTAAACGAATAAATGGGCCTAATAATATAACTAAAATAAAAATATGAACAAAAATGTAAAAAAAAAAAAAAATGTATAGGCCTACATAAATGTTTAAAAGTAGGCTAATTAATTTTTAGGCCAGATTTTGATAAGCCTAACTGATTTTTGCGCAGCGCGCACTATTAAAATTTAAATTGGCTTAGGCCTATATCATCTGTTCAAAAAAAAAAAAAAAAACTAAAATTAAACGAATCAATGGGCCTAATTATATAAATTAAAATCATCTACATCAACATCAACGTGTTATATTAAATACATTTTTGCGCAGAGAGCACGTGGATGACAATTTAAATTGTCTCAAACTTAAAAAAAAAAAAGAAGAAGAAAATTGCTTTCCTTATCTAGAATTCTTTTGAGTTCACCTTCAAGAACACGAGTTTGGACAATGTCTGAGGCTTTAGACAAATGCGGTGGTTTCTTGAAAGCAGACCAGCAGCGGAGAAAACCCTCTCTGCGCTGCAGACTCGCTTGGGGATGCTGAATACAATGCAAGCAACTTTAGTCAGGCGGGGAAAAGACGTGGAGACGCTCCACTCCGCTCACATGCTCTGCTGCGAATGTAAGTTATGCCAAGTTCATCGGTTTCAACGAATTCTATCCAGAGTGGACCAAGCTCGCCAAGATAGCCTCCCTGTCTTGAGTGTTCCTGCAGAGAGGGGGTTCTCACTGCAGAATCGGATTAAGACGAAGCAGCGAAGTTGCCTTGCAGAGAACAAGGTTACGTGGCTTATGCGCATTGCAAGTTGTGGAGAGACGCTGCGACGTTTTGATTTTAAGTCGGCAGCTGCACATTTCAGCACTGCAAAACAAGCGTAAAAACTGCGTAACAAGTAGCCTAAAATTACGCGAGACAGTGTTATAGGCCTAGTCATTTGTTTGTTCCAATTAATTTGACAAGGAGTCATTTCACGGTGGCCAATTTATTTACCAGCTAAATGGGACGCTGAGAATGTATATAATTAAGTTCGCTTGAGTAAAAACTACTATTCAGATATTGTATGTGGGGAAGGGGGATTGGTTTGTTAAACTAATGTGAAACCATGGTAAAAACAATTGGCGTTGATTGACGCCAATCGGACGTTCATGTTTTCATGGTTTCCGTCTATTTATCTGTGCGTGTGGGGTGTGTAGTGTGTGATTTGAGTGTGTGTGATGTGAGTGTGGGGTGTTTTGTGTGGTGTGTGTTGCAGTGTGCAGGGTGTTTGTTTGGTGTGCGTGGGTGTGCATGTGGTGTGTGGGGTGTGTGATGTGAGTGTGGGGTGGGTAGTGTGTGATTTGAATGTGTGTGATATGAGTGTTTTGTGTGGTGTGTTGCGTTGTGCGGGGTGTGTGCGTGCGTGTGGGTGTGCATGTGGGGTGTATAGTGTGTGATTTGAGTGTGTGTGATGTGAGTGTGGGATGTTTTGTGTGGGGTGTGTTGTGGTGTGCAGAGTGTGTGGTGTGCATGCGTGTGGGTTTTGCATGTGGGGTGTGTGATGTGAGTGTGTGTGTTTCTGTAAGTAAAATTAGGTAGAAAGTTAGGTATTGTGTATTGGCATTTAGATACAATGTGTTATCCCACCGGTCACTAGGGCTGCACGATTCTTGCTAAAATGTGAATCACGATTTTTTTCCATGGGAATTGAGATCTCGATTCTCTTACACGATTCTCTTTTTTTCCATCCAAAATGTATTGCACTCAAGTAAAAAAAAAAAAAAAAAAACACAAGACAGTCTAATAAAGTGCAGTAACGAAAAAAAAAAATCTAAATTGTTTAAGCTGGTTCTTTGGGGCTAGCCTATGTAGCTGTCTGTGTATTACTGTCATGAACTAAAAGTAAGTGTAGGCTATATTTAATATTTTCTGGCTAGTTTACTATAGCTTTTTTTAGAATCAGACATCACACTTTCACCCAAACTGAATAATTACAAACAAGTTTAAATGGGTAGCCTAAATCTTCTATAAATATTTGAGTCTTCATATCTAAAACTCTCCAAAATGCTCTATGTGAAACTGCGGTCTTCCAAACTTTCGTGTTGTTTGAAGACCTCTCTCTCTCTCTCTCTCTCTCTCTCTCTCTCTCTCTCTCTCTCTCTCTCTCTCTCTCTCTCTCTCTCTCTCTCTCTCTCTGCCCTTTCAAGCGCAGCAGTTTCTATTCTACATCATCACTCACCGATCAAACTAGGCTTTGACGGGACTAATATGTGCTTAAGCGGCCTCCAAAAAGCAGACGATCTGACGGTTTTACAAGATTAACAAACCGAAATTAAAAAACAGACCCGCCCTATTTGAGACAAGCTTTTATTTACCCAAACCTGCAGCCACACAGGCGTGTAAAAGATACAGGCGTCTATGGGACTCGGCTATTATTTTTATATAAGTTTTAAGGTACTTCAGTTCTTGTTAAAACTTACTAGACATTGTGTGAAACTACTTTTTGAGTGAAATCATATTAATTTTGTCCCTCAAAAGTGTGCTTTCACTTTAATTGAGCGCGCATTTCACTGCTGCTCACGCGCTTCCCCTGCTCCCGGTGAATACTTTGATTAACATGCAAGCCCCCAAAAAATATGCGCTGCTCACGTGCAACAACTTTAATTTAGACATTCCCTGATGAAACGTCCGCATGATTGATTTGTCAATTATTGTTTTGTTTTTGTGTGAGTGTGACCAATATAACGCGTGAATGCAGCATGATCTGAATGCAGGGAAATACACGGAAGTGAATCGCCATCATTAAGAAATGAGATCGCATTTATGTTTGAATCGAGATCGTGATTTTTTTTCCGATTAATCGTGCAGCCCTACCGGTCACTATTGTTGCTGTTGACATATTTGTGAGTTCTATGAACACATTAAACAAAGTCGAGTAATTGCATATATCAATACTAGACACCCTAAACATGTGTACCAAAAATCTATGTCCTATCTTTATGTTAACATACTTTACTAATCTTTTCTTTGGGAGCTTTCTTGCTGCCATCCTCTTCTCTTGGCACAAACAGGAAATAAACAGCTCTGGTCATGTGACTATTTACAGTAAACATGCGACACTGCACATATTTCATTGAGACCCTTTATTATTTCAATATCTGCTGGAAATGCATTGATAGATTATTCAGTAACATTTTTATAGCCTTAGAAATAATTTTTTTTTACGGTCACTATTGTGACTGTTGGGATTAAATAGGTTAATTAAATTGGCATTCTGTATTGCCATAATAGGTCATGCTGACCTCAGTAATTAACACTTAGGGTACATATTAGATCTGCATGACTTAATACTTTGAGTTTTAGTTACTGTAAAAATTCAAATAATAGCTGAGTCCCAATAGACGCCTGTCTCTTTTACACGCGTGGTGTGACTGCAGGTTTGGGTAAATAAAAGCCGGTCTCACATAGAGGCCAGGTCTGTTTTTTAGTTTCAGTTGGTATTTAATCGTCTAAAACCCATCAGATGTTTATTTTTTTTTTGGTCAATAAGCGTTAAGCTTGTAATTATGTTTTTAATTCCAGTGGTACT